AAATAAATAAACAAAACGAACCCTCTTAGATCAAACAATTGGATTTTCGCAGGACTCAATTCGAATGGTTCGAGAGCCTAACTTTTAAGTATGCGAAATAATTAGTGTAGTGTAAGAGTAGACGATATAAAGAGTCAAGAAATTTCACGAAAATGTACTTGCTTTGAATAAACATTTTTCTCTCAACGTATGCAGATTCTTGACCCTTAAAACAATGGGATAGCCACAATCTGGAAAAAAATGGTCCCAACAATTTAGTCAGAGCAGTTAGAGTCTTCTCATGTTTGCGATTTGCATTTTTTAGTTATACGCAAGGCTGACGATTCTAAGGTTGTTCAGTAATCTTTTAATTTTTTCCTTTTTTTTTTGTGCGTCAGACATAATTTAATACATTTTTTGTCAGTATACTTAGTAATTACGATTTTTGTCTGACTTGATTTACTTTCTATATTTAGTCATGTAATATTGAAATGCATTTTCCTCACATTTTTAATTTTCAAACTTCGTAGTTTACTTTGATTTTTTGTTAGTTATTTTTAAAAATATTTTTTTCTTTTGATTTTAATTTTCTGTGTAATAATTTATTTTTCAAACACTTTTAAGCTAAATGGGAATTTTTGTTCATTTTTGTGATTAATTTTGTAACCCGTAATTCTTAATTCTTATTAATAAAATAATAAATCATACTAAAAACTATGTAATAATTTTTAATAGTATAACAAATTTTTAAGATTTAGTTTTTGTTTAATTGTAACAATTTTTTTAGAATTCATTTTTATTGGATTTTAGCTTTTACGTTGTTTATGTAAATAATATTTTTGTTAATTGTTTTCTCTATATTTTGTTAGAATAATTTAAATTCCTTAAATATATTTCAATCAATTTATACTTGAAATTTTTTAAATATTTTAAAAGTATATAACATAATTTCGCAATATCATTTGGTTTTTCAAAAGATTTTTTAAAATTTCATTAATCTCCTTCGCTATCCAGTTATCCAATTTTGTTTCGAATACCTATAATTCGAAAAATAATATTACATTGTTTAGTAAAAGAAAAATAAAATAACCATGTAACCTGAATTATACAATGAAAGTTTGATTATAATTTCACAATTAACGATGTGTTTAGATTATACTTCTGTAAATAAGAAACTTATTTAAATATGGCACCCTGGAAGTTAGTTACATATATATATATATATATANATATTTTACTTTGTGTATTATATTTTTCCTTTATTTTTAAAGTAATTTTTACCTTAGAATAAACCAGAGAAATCACAAGACTTGTTAAAATTCAAAGTCATTTTAAAATAAGATTCAATTTGAGAAATCAATCTCTTTTACGCCCTCTATTTGTTTTAATTTTTTTGACCTTGTGCTTTGTCATTAAAACTAAACTAAAATGATGAAGTTAAGTCTCCTTTTTTTGTATTCTGAAAATTTATATTCACGATTAAATTCAAATCTTCTATGTCAGAATCAAAAAATAAATCACAAATTATTCTTGATTCAATGTGTTTTTGAGGAGCAAAAAGCCATTTTATGTCATTATGATAAAATGTATCTATAAAATGTATTGCTCAGCATTAACAAATTCAAAGGAGTAGAAATTACATAATTCATTAATTAACACCCCGTGTAGTAAATGGTGACTGATGCGCGTTAAATCTGTCGAGTCACAAAGTCCTCCATGTTCCCACAACAAATCAATACCTCTGGGGGTACTGATCCAGGAGTTTCCTTGTCTTCTGGATTGGTTAAAATTACAAGGCTACGGAGTTGAACTTTAGTAGTCATAAACCCGAAAGTAGGGTCAGCTGTACAACGACGTTTATATATATATATAAAATTAATTAATTAATATTTTTAAATTTTAATGTACTTTTTTTCTTTTCAATTTGTTCCCGATTGATAAAAAAAATTTTTTTGTTAACTAATTTGTAGGTGCGAATGTAATAGTTAAATCACAGTCGTCATAAACAACGGAAATAATTTATGCAACTATTACAAATATAAATGCGATTAAATGTTTCGGATTTAAAATAAGAACCATTTTGATTTACAATATTAAAATTATACAACTAATTTTAAAATATTAAGTCGAGCAAATTTTATGACTTTGCATAGGCTCGCCCCTCCAGTCAAAAAAAAGTTGACACGCCACTGATGAGGATTGATTATAAATGGATTCGTAAATGTTATAATTAAGATTCATTTTGCCGAAAGTTATTTGTGTATTAATATATTTCTGTTACTTAGAACTCTCTTTCCTTATTTGGGTTTTCTTTAGTGCTAATTGACGCCCGGTGGCTGAGCGGTAGCGCTTCGCGCTGTCGTGCCACAGGTCCTTGGTTCGATCCTTGGGCCGGGCAAGGCCGACTCAGCCTTTCATCCCTTCAGTGGGTCGATAAAATGAGTACCAAGCATGCTTGGGAACTAACATTGGGGGTTCCGCGTTCGGCTGACCACCTGACCGGAACATATGCTCCTGCACCCCAGAGCCCAAAGGTCAAGAAAACTGAGATGGGCACAGTCGGCCTTGGCCCTCTTAATGGGCTGTCGCGCCACTGAGTTAGTTAGTTAGTTAGTGCTAATTAATTTTCTCTAAAAATTATGGTTTAATTTGAAAGTTTTTTTAGTACCTTTTATTATTTTAAAGATTAATTATATACAATTTAAGAAATCCTCTCTGTACATATACAAATTTCAAATAACTATTTCTTTATAGATTTTTTCTTTTTATTGAGATTGTTTATTCTTTTATATATCGAAAATTATAATCAAGAATAATTTATTATCTAGATTGTTTATAAATTTCTTTGTATATAGAAAATATAACAAAAAGTAATTATAAATCAATTATTTGTTGGTTTTGACCGATTTTTTTTTAGCAGCTGAGTTCCCAAATGTTTGTACGGAGATGCTGACTGCTCCGGATTGGACAAAATATTTTAAAAAACGGTAGAGAAGTACAAACTAAAATTTGCATATCTTCGGTCAATTTTGCTAATTTTTTAAAAGACTCAACACGCCATTGAAGTTCCGTGTAATCTTTTGAATTATTTAAAAGTAGTGGTGAGTAAAAACTCTGAGAATAGAATTGACTAGACCAAGAATCACACATTAAAAGACTACCACTCGATAATATTTATCCGCTGTCCGGAGTAAGTTGGCATCTCTGTTTGTATATTTAATGTCACGGATAATTACTTTTCTTTAAGATTATTTTACCCTATAAAGTAAATTTTTAAATTGCGATACTTACAAGGATGAATTTTTTGAAATTGTTGCATGTAGTAAATTATTATAAAAATCCTTTTTTTTTCTTTCTGAAAATAAGAATATTCGACTATCATTGAATTTTTATTAAGCCTACTTAGCAATGTGATAAACGTAGACTTATAAATTACATTGAATTAAACTTAGTTAAATAAGTTAATAAAAAAGTGCACCATAATAAATCCATTAAATGTTATCCTATAGAAGTCTTGTATCGTAATTGGTGTAGTTTTTACTAATTGATTTATTTTTTTGTTACATATTTTCAACTGCGTCTGCTTGTGCATAGTGCCAGTAAAGTTAAATGATAGCTTACAATAATATTATAGATAATTTTATGATTATTCATAGTTTTAATCAATAATTGATGAAATAGCAGAATACATATTACTATTCTGTATCTTTTGGTGTTTCCGATTTATTTTCTTTTAAAATTTAATTTCTTCGTTTGGATAGCACCTTAAACAAGGCCAAGGCCAAGGCAGTTGATTTTTGAAAATGCCTAAATGCTGAACCTGTATAATTTCCTAAGCAGTGAATGTGCAAGCAATACTGTGGAGAAGTGATGCACTTTAGCGATGAACTACGATGCATGATGGATGAGTGGGGCTTTAGTACGGGAACTTGTTTATTATTTTGGTCTTTTCCTTCTATTGCCCTGCGGTCAGTGTGCAGATGGGTAACCACTTGGATCAGTCTGCGTAGGGTCCGAGGGTGTGCGGTATGGGTCCTCGTTAAACTGTGCTACCGTAAAGTGCTCGACTTCGCGTGCAGGTCGTTGGGCTGCTGAAGCAGGGGTGCCATCCCCTCTGCAGAGGATCAAAATTGTGATGGCATGTCTTCGGATCATCCTGAGGGATGTGACCGTCGCCAATAGCCCATTGTGCAGCTCTAGTGCTACGTAAATGAACTACAACCATCAATTGCCCCTTCGCAGCATCTTTTGATTTCCACAAACATCTTTTTCAAAGTGGAATTCTTTGGAATCTAATAAGATAATGGGAAGAAAGTATAATCTGTTAATAGTTTTTATTTACATTCAAATAGTTATTCGTCAGCGTGTGGTTTTATCTCACTTTGTGTTACTCCTAAAGTGTCCATATTAGGATTCTAAATGTATATATTGAAGACTGTCATTACGAAATACTTTAGTTCATCTCTTTTCATCCGAATAAGAATTTCTGGTAAAATTTTTTTCAATTTGAAAAAGTAACTTTAAAATACTTTTTAAAAGAATGGTTTAAATAATGAAATTAAGTGGTTTTGTAAAGTAAATATTTTTTAGTTATTTTTAATTTAGCTATTGAAACTTAAAAACATAAAATTAAAGCGGCTTTACCGACAGCAGTGATTTATAAGATTAGTAAAGTTTAAGAGTGTAAATAAAATGTTTATCTCCTGATTGTTTATTCAGTCAGCTTTAAATAAAGTTTTTAGAAAAAATACAATTCATTATATTTCTTTATAAAAGAATTCCGCATACGCAAGTTAACAAAATTTGCGCATAATATCTTTATTTTGTTCATTTTTCCCCATCATAACGGTTTTTATATTGCAATCGAACTTCAAACTCAAATACTTTCTCTAAAAACAATTGAATTTTCTGCCACCACTTAAACTTGAATGATCTGAAGAAACTTATCTTTGCACCCTTACAACTCATTCACTGTTAAACCCCCATAAAGAAATATCTGCTTTGAGCAAACACAACTATTGTTGAAGCTGATAACACTCTTCTCATAGTTCTAATCAATACCCACTTAAAATCTTATCGTCTCAACCATTCTTTTATAATTTTTTCCCTCCCTTTTTTAATTGTACTTTCAGGGGCGTTTTTTTCTAGAAAATAACGAAAATTAAAAACATAATATTCTATTCGCAAGCAACTGTTTCGTATATTTGAATCATTATTTAAGAAAATTCAGAAATTTTTATGAAATTTATCTAGCATCAATTGAATGTATGATTGAACATTCAAGAACAATTTAATATACAAGATGTACCATCAGACTTTTCAAAATGCTTATCAAAATTATTTTTGGAGTCACTCAGATTTCACTACGGCTAAATACAATTTGTCCAGTGAGAATGTAGAAAACAGAGGAAAGACTGAAATCTGGAGGCCATTCGAGACTCAGCATTTATCCATAAATAAACTCAATCATTCAACCTCATCAGTGTTCGTCCCAGTTAAGAAGAAGTTTTGTTCGAAATGTTCAGCTGTATTTTACAGTAATTTGCAGCTAATTGCTCATATGCAAGTACATACAGGTAAGTCCATCATTTTAAAGAAAAATTTTTAATTGATTCTATTTTTTGGACAAAAATATCTTCACATATTCTTCGACTTTCCTTTCACTTCCCGAGACTCAATGTGGACATAAATATTCAATGATCTCATCACCATTTTTCTGTAACTCTTATTATTAATTACTCTATATTCCTTAACTCTTTCTTTAACCCTTATTATTTGTAGTAAAAAAAAGTTTTAATTTTCAGTTAGTAACGATACATTTTCTTGCTCATGTGAATAAAAATTTGTATCGGAGTTCACCTATGAATTTAACAATAAAATGCGAATTTGTTTTTTTTTTTCAAATGTAAAACATATATATAACGGAAATAATTTATGCAACTATTACAAATATAAATGCGATTAAATGTTTCGGATTTAAAATAAGAACCATTTTGATTTACAATATTAAAATTATACAACTAATTTTAAAATATTAAGTCGAGCAAATTTTATGACTTTGCATAGGCTCGCCCCTCCAGTCAAAAAAAAGTTGACACGCCACTGATGAGGATTGATTATAAATGGATTCGTAAATGTTATAATTAAGATTCATTTTGCCGAAAGTTATTTGTGTATTAATATATTTCTGTTACTTAGAACTCTCTTTCCTTATTTGGGTTTTCTTTAGTGCTAATTGACGCCCGGTGGCTGAGCGGTAGCGCTTCGCGCTGTCGTGCCACAGGTCCTTGGTTCGATCCTTGGGCCGGGCAAGGCCGACTCAGCCTTTCATCCCTTCAGTGGGTCGATAAAATGAGTACCAAGCATGCTTGGGAACTAACATTGGGGGTTCCGCGTTCGGCTGACCACCTGACCGGAACATATGCTCCTGCACCCCAGAGCCCAAAGGTCAAGAAAACTGAGATGGGCACAGTCGGCCTTGGCCCTCTTAATGGGCTGTCGCGCCACTGAGTTAGT